AAAACAACAAAAACTCCAATCTGCCATCCGTTGCTTTGTAGGATAATCTTTCTTCAACATTTTTTTCAAAACAGAAGTTTCATCCAGAAACAGATATATGGAAGGACAAGAGAGTTTGGGGAAGCTTATGTTGTCATTTGATGGTGTAAAGGACAATATCTATTTTGTACATTTATCTGACATACAGTCGTGCTAATATTAAGCATCTTTAATATAAACATATTTCAGTGAGAGAGCTATTCACATGATCCTATGCCTCCTCAGCAATATAAATTGCTTTTTAAAAGTTTAATTTTGGCTGGACATTATGCTGAGATCCTGTTGAGAACTGATGTAGTGTAATGTTACACTGATGCTGATATTACTCCATGGAATTGCAGAAAAAAATCAAAATAGTCAAATGGGGATTGCGGGAGAGCTGTGCCCATGCGACACTCTGGGAAGGTTATGGACCCATTGCACACTCTATTGGAAAGTTTGCACAAGGAGCTTTCTGAGACCTCTGTGGGTAAATTGGTTGTAAAGTTTCATGACTATTCTGATCATCTATCTGATCATAACAGCTCATGTGATAAGCATTTGTTTTATTAAAAATAAAGGCATGAGAGAGTGAAATATTTTACCAGCAATTCTGGAGTATATCTAGAAACATTTAGAGAACAGATATAAGAGTATTATCCTATAGTATTGCACTTAAAGTTTTCTTTTTTTAAAAAAAAATCACCAGAGCACAAATACTGGAGATTTGTTTATTGCATGGGCAGATTTTAGACAACTTTCAATCACAGCTGAATGCATAGTTAATGTGTGGATTTCTAATCCAAGAAAAATTCATGGAAGGAAAATTTTAAGTATCCTTCCCCTCCTCCCCCAGACATCTACAGCTCCCCAAAAAACTCTTTCAAGGCTTTGGGGAGGGGCAAGTGTGAAACTAGAACATGAGGTTACTTTCTTGGACTAGAGCTTAAATGATCAGGTATATGCATGCACATAAATACCATATGAATACAAAGATGGGCCTGGTTTTACAGTTGTTTTTGGGGAGAGTTTTCTTCATTTAGCATTTGATTAACAGTGAGTAACAGAAGGAAGCCATCTTGTCAGTGTAAATATGTAGAGATTTTTCTTAATTACATCTTTTCATTGTCTTTCTTCTTAAATAATTTGATTTTATAAAAATTAATAAATTTTGCCTAAAATTTGATTATGATGATAGTCTGAGAATTCAGCTGACAAAGTCTAACAGTGTTTCACAGGTGAATAGGCTGACAAATCATTGACTGTGTTTCATCCCTATCAACCAAAGGGAACATGAAACCATCTTTAGACAAAGTTCTCTTCCTAGATTAATGACTGTGTATTAGGGCCCCAGAAGGGTTTACTTTTAACAGAAATACATCTTAAGAAAGCTTATTCCTAGAAAACCACTTATCATGAGGAACATCTGCTCCACATTTCTTAAAGATTCAAGCCTATTGATTTATAATTCACACCACACCAGAGTCAAGGTGCTTTATAACGGACAAACTGGTGAATAACCCATTCTCAAGAAAGATGGTTGAAAAGCCTGGAAAGGTAACAAGCTTTATGATCTCCTTCTTTCTTTCCCTCTTTTTTCCTTAAAAAGAGAAGGAAGACAAATCACGGTAACCAAAGTACAATATGTCCAGAACTAGTCCAAAACGTTTTGCTCCCTATGACTGCTGCCCTGTAGTCAAGGTGCCGGACCGTAGAAACCAAGAGCAATCAAGTTATTTTGGTAACCAAGGCAAAAAATCTAGTGAATGTATTTGTGGGATGAGTCAATTCATTGCTTTGCCTGTGGAGCCATCGCCTGTCTGCATGCGCAGCTTACAATGGCATCCCAATATGTGTGCACTATCACAAGGAACCAGCAGGGATAGAGAGAGGGGAAAATCAGAAGTCCCTGCAAGTGGCATAGAAAAGTGTGGGGCAATGCTGACGGGGTGGCAGGTCCATTATTGAATCTTACAAAGACTGTCATGGATCTCTTATGGTGAACTCTCCTTATTCCAAAATTTCCTGTCCTCAACTGCTCTTTGAAGAGCCATTCTGCTGGAGGAACTCAAAGCTGCATCTAGTCCTGCTTCCCACAAAGGTCAGTCACCTGTTACCAGGAAGAACAGTACCATCCAAGACTGGACTGGAGTACCTGTGGCCCTAGAATTGTTGTTGGACTCCAATTCCTACTCACGCTGGTCATTAGTGAGGGATCATGGGAGTTGTTGTTTACCAACATATGGAGGACACAGGTTCCACAACCCTGCACTAAAGGAATGTACCAGTGGACCTGGACAAACATAGTGATTTGCAAAATAATAATGCAATTAATAATATTTTTTTAACTGGGTAATAAAGTATTCTCTACAGATTTGTCTAACACAGGTGCTTACCTGAATCTATATGCCAACTAATAAGTAGGTATTTATACCCCAAATGCAGGAAAAGCAAACAATTATCACAAATGAAAACAGCCCTAACCAGTGATGAGCCTAAATGATGCCAAGAGATATTTTATGTACAGCCAACACTGAACAATCGAGGTGATGAAACAAAATGCACTCTGTACACTAACCAACTTGTTGAGTTCACTATCGAAATCAGAAAACTGCAGAACTGGGAGATTTTAAAAGCCAAATGGACCTGCTAAATGCAGTGATTACTGAGACGCATCAGTTGAGAATGCAAAGGGATCTTGTAGCATCTTTTGAGATTTAGCCTGCATCCACACTGCTGAAATAACCAGTTTGAGATCTCTTTAACTGCTCCATGCCATGGAATCCTAGGATTGGTAGTTTGCTGGACCACCAGAGCTCTCTGACAGAGAAGGCTAAATATCTCACCAAACTACAACTCCCAGGATTCCACAGCATTGACACAGGATTCCCAGGATTCCACAGGATTCCACAGCATTGACACAGGATTCCCAGGATTCCACAGGATTGACACAGCCATGGTCATTAAAGCAGTGTCAAACTGCATCAATTCTGCAGTGTGGATGCAGCTACACAGAAAGAAAGAAGTTGGTAGCATAAGCTTTCATAGACTTAAGTATACTTCATGCATGTCTTGAAGGTGTTACAAGATCCCTTTGCATACTAATCCAGAGTAACACGGTTATGTCTTTGAATTTTATCACTGGTTCAGAGAACATCAAAACTTGTTATCCTGTGACATGGTTTGTCAAGAAACTCCCATCCACACCCTGAAAAAATGATGAGGCAGAGAAAATGAGTGCTTGACAGCAGGACATCTCTAAAAAACTTCATGGGTGACAAGACAGATGATGACAACTAATCACATTTAGCAAAACGGAAACTTTAAGAAGAAAAGGCATGATAAAGGTATGGTGCAGAAAGTACTCCTTTTCCTAATACCGGTACTCTCATTCCTGGTGAGTGTTAATATAGGAAAGATCACAGTATGCTTAAGAAGACATGATGAAAAATCCAGGAGGTGGGTGGATGGACAGGGAAGGAAGTGTTACTAGGAAACCAACTCTCTCCTTTCCCTTCTATGTCAATGAGTTTTGACTTTCCTTTGTAAGCAGTTTCCAAAGAGTGAAGCTTGCAAAGTGGAAAAGGAGAGAAGAGGGAAAAAGAATCTAGCAACACCTTTGAGACTGATTTATTTTAGTGTGAGATTTCATACATGCTAAAATAAATCTGTTCCTCTCAAAGGTGCTGCTAGATTCTCCCTGTCTCACACCTGTCATCCCCCTTTTTTGACTTCCTATTGTGGGAAGTGCAGAATTCTGCTCTACAAAGAAGAAAATGTTTCATGTTTCCGGCATTAAACATATGCACAAGGTAATCAAACACACAGGTAGTTCAGAGCAGCTATGTATGATACATATTACACATCATAGTCTCCAGCACCAATATTAACATAAAGGGTGGTGCTATGGGATTGAGGTGGGGTGAAATGGGGACATTTTCCCCCACAGTAAGAATTCTGCCCCCGAATGAAATTTTCCTTCAGTCCCCAAATTCCTAGCACGGCCGAGACTGAGACACTGAAAAGTGTTCACACCTGGAATGCTTAACATTTGCTGCATTCACACTGCCTTGGTAACTTTGCCTGCCCCTTTTCTTTGAGTCCTAAGCTCTATTTCTAGATGCTCAACTAAAGTTATAAGTAACTGTAATGCTAGAAATTTGGTAAGTGAAGGAATATTTCATGTGGATGGGAAAAAAAATATTTTTGGGGGATGGAAATGATCTCGTTTTGCCTCCTTCCCATAGCTACACTTCTGACCAGCACCTCTGCAGTGCTGACCAAACAGTTCTTAGATCAGTGGGGTGGTGAATCTGATGAATTTTCAAAAAACTGTGCTAGACCTATATCTGCAAATAGGTGCAGCACCTGCCTCTTTTCAAGTTCTACCTAAAAGCCAGCATTAATTTCCCCCATCCGTGTTCCGGTGTTTTTGGTTCTTCTCCAACTGCAGGTTGAGTCACCCTTATCCAGAATTCCAAAATCCAAAATACTCCAAAATCCAAAATTATTATTCATACGGGTGGCTGAGTTAGTGACACCTTCACTTTCTGATGGTGTCAGAAAAAATACACAAAAAAATACTGTGTATACAATGTGATGTCGAAGGATTCATAGCCGGCGTACATAGTTTTTTTGTGGTTTTTTAGGGCTGTGTGGCCATGTTCTAGAAGAGTTTCTTTCTGCCGTTTCGCCAGCATCTGTGGCTGGCATCAAGATGCCAGCCACAGATGCTGGCGAAACGCCAGAAAGAAACTCGTCTAGAATATGGACTCACAGCCTGAAAAACCCACAAAAAACTATTGTGTATACAGTTGTTGCTGTAGTTTTTATTGTGGCCGTGTGCCTTCAACTTGTTTCTGACTTGTGGTGACCCCGAGGCAAACCTATCACAGGATTTTCTTGGCAGATTTGTTCAGAGGAAGTTTTACTATTGCCTTTCCCTAAGGCTGAGAGCGTGTGACTTGCCCCAGTGGGTTTCACAGCTGAGTCAGGAATCAAACCCTGGTCTCCAGAGTCATAGTCTAACACTCAAACCACTACGTCACACTGGCTCTCCTGTATACAACTCCTTCAAGTTATGTGTATAAGGTGTAAATGAAACATAAAGGAATTTCATATTTACATTTGGGTCCCATCTCCAATATATCTCATTATGCATATGCACATTTTCCAAAATCTGAAAAACTCTGAAATCCAGAACACTTTTGATCCCAAACATTTCAGATAAGAGAAACTCAACCTGCAGTGGCATTTTCTGAAAAACTAACAAGGGCTACAAGGGCTAAGAGATGGTCCTTCTGAGGATGAACGAGCAACAGAAAGGAAGAGAGAGGAAGAAAATATGTAAGGACTGGGCACAAAAGTATCTTTTTGGCTGTAGCCGCACTGCAGAAACAATCCACTTCCACACCATTTTAACTGCCATGGCTCAATGCTATGGGATTCTGGAAATTGTAGCTTGATGGGGACACCAGGGCTCTCTGACAGAGAAGGCTCTATTGTATGCTATGGAATGCTGGGATTTGTAGTATTTTAATGTGCACTTTTGTATGGACCTTATCACACGCTGGCCATGAAGCGAAAAGTAACCAAAATAAGAATAAATTCAGTTCTATACCGAAATGAACTGAAATGCTTCACAATACGTATTGCGTGATCATATGTATTTCGCCTGCACGGCCATTGTGCAATAATTCCGAAAGCTCGCTTGTACTTCCCCGAAAAACCGAATGTCAAAAGATCTCAATTCATTACGGATTAGCTCCAGGTTCTGTCGAGTTTCGGTGCAACGTTGTGTGTAAACACGGGGAACTAATACGGATTAGCTTCGGGTTCTGTCGAGTTTTGGTGCAACGTCGTGTGTAAACACGAGGAACTAATACGGATTAGCTATGGATATCCTTTGGATTAGGTCTGCTTTAGACCCCGTGTGATAAGGTCCTATGTTTTTAATTGTACTGTTTTAATTTGTTAGCTTCTTTGTGTCCCAATTTCAAGGAGAAAAGCAGAATAATAATAAAAGAGCCACAGCACTTAAAGTGGTGTCAAATTGGATTATTTCCACTTCCAAACTCACAAATGTTATTCCCAAACTTTGGTTCTCCAGATATTGGCCAAGCAGGCTGAGGCTTCTAGGAACTGAAGTACCAAAAGAGAGGAACCACTGCTTCCAGAGCTTGGGGAATTTTATATTTATACATTTTAATGCTTTTGTATTGTTTTTAAATGGTATTGTTTTACATTTGCTGTTCGCTGCCTTGAGTCCCTGTAGTGGGAGAAAGGCGGGATGTAAGTTAATAAAAGTAGTAGTAGTAGTAGTAGTTACTTTTGGGGACAACCGTGCACTGTATGTGCTGTAGTGGTTTGAGCATTGGACCAGGTCTCTGGTTTGAATCAGGGTTCGAATCCCAGCTCAGTCATGTCAACTCACAGGGTGACCTTGGGCAAGTCACACTCTCTCAGCCTCAGAGGATGGCCATGACAAACGTCTTCTGAAGGAATTCGAAGATATAGCCATGTTAGTCTGTAGAATCAATATGTAGAGAGATCTTGTAGCACCTTTGAGACTAACGGAAAGAAAGAATTTGGCAGCATGAGCTTTCCTAAACTAAAGTCTACTTCCTCAGATACATATGGACCTGAGGAAGTAGACTTTAGTCTTGGAAAGCTCATGCTGCCAACTTCTTTCTTTCGTTCTTTCTAAAGGCATCTGAGGGAGTAGACATAAGTCTAGGAAAGCTCATGCTGCCAACTGCTTTCTTTCACTCTTTCTAAAGGCATATGAAGAAATAGACATAAGTCTATGAAAGCTCATGCTGCCAACTTCTTTCTGTCATTCTTTCTAAATGCATCTGAGGAAGTAGACGTTAGTTTACAAAAGCTCAAGTGCCAAATTCTTTCTCCCATTATTTCTAAAGGCATCTGAGGCAATAGACATAAGTGTATGAAAGCTCATGCTGCCAAGTGCGTTCTTTCATTCTTTCTAAATGCATCTGAGGAAGTAGCCTTTAGTTTAGGAAAGTTCATTCTAACAACTTCTGTCATTCTTTCTAAGTGCGTCTGAGGAAGGAGACTTTAGTCTAGGAAAGTTCATACTGCCCACTTCTTTCTGTCGTTCTTTCTAAAGGCACTTTCTGAGGAAGTAGACTGTAGTCTAGTAGGAAAGCTCATGCTGCCAACTTTCCTTTCCTTTCCTTTCAGTGTCCCAAAGGTGCTACAAGACCCTTCTACATACTTCTTTCTTTCAGCGAGGTCTCGAAGGCCCTCCTCTGAAGGAACTGGCCAAGAAAACCCCATGATAGGTTCACAAAATCCTAGAATCCTAGAGTTGGAAGCGACCACAAGGGCCATCCAGTCCAACCCCCCTGCCATGCAGGAACTCCCAATCAAATCATCCCCCACAGATGGCCGTTCATCCTCTTTTTAAAGACCGCCAAAGAAGGAGACTCCACCACACTCTGAGGCAGCATGTTTCATTGCTGAACAGCTTTTATGCTTAGGAAATTCATAGAATCACAGAGTTGGAAGAGACCACAAGGGCCATCCAGTCCAACCCCCCTGCCATGCAGGAACTCAAAATCAAAGCATCCATGACAGACGCGTCCTAAGTCGGAAAGCACTTGAAGAAGGCACCCAACCACAACCACCACCACCACCACCGCAACCTGCACCCGCCCCGGGGATTCTGGGCGTTGTAGTCCTTCCCATGAGGATGCTGGGCGTGGCAGTCCTTCCCCGGGTCCCTTTGCTCTTTCTTACCTATGGTGGAGACCACGGTGCCCACGAAATAGAAAGCCCCCGGGAAGTCCCACCGGGGCCGCATGGCGTTGACCCGGACGCCGGCCACATAGGCGCCCTCGTACTCGCCCAGGAAAGCCCGGAGCTGGTCCGGAGGGAGGCTGTGGCTCCGGGAGAAGTTCTCCATCCTCTGCCGCCACCTCTCCTGGGCCTGGCGCTCGGAGGGCTGCTCCAAGGCGGAGAAGACGGCCGCCCCGCAGAGCAGGTAGAGGAGGATGAGGGCGGCCAGGAGCAGGAAGCGGGCGTTGTCCTCGTTGAAGGCCCGCAGGCTGGACCCCGAGGAGGAGGCGGAGGAGGAGGAGGAGGACGCGGAGGAGGACGCGGAGGACGGCAGGGAGGACGGGGAGCAGCAGCAGCAGCAGCAGCAGCAGCAGAGGAAGAGCCCCCGGCCCCCCATGGCTCCCAGAGGTGGTCCTCCTCCTCCT